AAAACTATTGTTAGTGCAATATGAGTGTGTCTTCAATAGAGCTTTGTTCTTGGAAAGAGAACCAAAGTTCTAATCTCCTTTCCTGTTGGCCACTAATGCACTAATCAGAATGCACAATTTCCCACTATTCTATGTTCCAAAACTAGCAGTAATTCAACTTTACATAACTTATTCAATGGCCCTGGTACTGACTGATATCTCAAGACAGTGCTCCAAGGAGGAACATGCAAATAAGTGTTTTCATAGACTTTTGGGGATGTAAGACATCATGTGGGGGAGGGAGGAGTGAAATAATGTCATCATAATCAACTCTTATAGATTAGGCCTTGTAGCCTGTTCCCATTCAGAATGATTTCTGAAATATGAATCAGTTTAGCCATTTGGCAGGACTCAGACAGGTGACTGTTACAAGGCCTCTGCTTACACAGGACAGCAAAAAACAAAAAGACAACAAATAGTCATGCCTTGAGCAGGATTAAAACCTGTGATCCTACTCTCAAAGCAGCCAAGATTCATACTGTAGACCACACAGGTACTGAGATTGGCAAATAATTTATTTAATAAAAGTAAGCCTTGAGCACATATGAATAAACTTGAATTTCACATATGAATGCTACCAGTATGTCCATATCAAGCATGTACAGCTTCATTTTTTCCATTACAGAGTATGAAGTTCTGTGTAATGGAAAGAAAAATACTTAGTTTTATCATGCCTCTGCATTACAATGTCTGCTACTCTGAAGTTTTAAGAGTCTCATCCAGGACGTTTGATGCTGTAACTTATTTATATAAGAATGGAAATGTAGAAGGTTATGTATGGACATCAATACCTACCTTGTATGAAAGCTTTGTTATCTGAATTAGTTTATCTGCATTTTCTTGCAAAATATCAACAATCGTAAAAATTTTCCTCTGATGTAACCTCTTCAAGACACGTTCTTCTAATAATGGATTCATTTGAGTGCATAATCTAGCCATTACATTTCTTTTGCTACTACCTACATAATGTTATGACTTTCCATATTTACTAGTATGTGTGCATTTGTATACATATGGAGGAAGTGATGATAATGAAACTCATTCCCACATAATAATGGATCCATGAATTATTTCCAACTTCCCTCCTCACTTTTGGTGGATTTTATGGACTTCCAGGACAACAAACATTTGTATTTTGTATGCGATGATCAATGTCATGTAGTGTGTTTCCTGAACCTTGGTCTAGGGTTATTTCATATATACAATTGGCTGCTCTGATGCTCCAACGTAATGGATATAACGCTCCTGGTGGATGTATATTGCACAAGAGATATATGAAAACGACGTTGCCGTTTGAGGTCCGTCGCCATGTTTAGAAGGAAGGTAGCGTCCTTGAGCTGAGATGTTTGAATTTGCATTGATAACAATAGTTGTAGTTCGTATCATGAGAGTAACGTTTGGTACCTAATTAATTAGTAAATTTTGTAGGTTATAAATATGATAAAATTGTAAACGGATGATGAACCTTCAACATGAAACTTTGTGATAACATAATGGTAAGTTTATGGGTGCATACGAAAATGCCAATATGGCGGTGGTTGTTTTGAGGTATTTCCTTTGTGTTAGGTCAAATTACTGGTTTTTTAATAATATAATTTTGTAATTATTTTCAGCATTCCGATAATAAATGTAATAATTTACTGGGAATATTGGTATATCAATTGATGTGATGGATGTGTATTTGTAAGTAGACGGTAACTTAATTACTGTTGGCGTGATTGGTGCCGCAATTGTAGGATAAGGTTATGTATATGTGGTGCGAAATATATGTGTAATTTTAATGTTTGGATCGTGGGTACACCCAGATTTTGCTAGCGTGATTATTTTTAGTGTGACATATGCTTGCTTTCCAGGTAATTAGGAGATGAGCGATCATCAGGCAGGGGCTGGACCACAGCAGCCCCCGCAAACTCTTAATGTGGCCGGGCAGACGGTACGACTGCAACAAGTGCTGGCAGCTGCTGGTTCACGAGGCCATCAGTTTGTTATTACATCTCAAGTCAGCGTGCCTGGTCTGACTCAGGTAATATAATGTTTATTTGATAAAAATATCCATTTGTACCTGTAGCTGAATTTGGAATTTATTTACAGATCTTTTATTACATCATCTACTGTAACTTACCCAGCCGTCAACATTATCATTAAATATACCTTTGTAAAGTTGATGTCAATGCTATTGTGTTATTTTCCATACAGAAATACATCTTTTATTCAAATTTGGTGGTTGGTACTATTTATAATTTATAGTTTATGTAATGTTTGCATTCTGAAGTATTAAGCTTTCTGACTTTCTTGCTCACCTTCACCTAACATTGAATTTGAGTTTTATTTAAAGTTACTAGTCCTACTAAATCTTTAAAATAGAACAATGCTTCAACATGTTTTGAATGATGTAAGTGTTGTACTTGATGAATAACCAATATTACTTTAGTTGAGGATGTTCTTATCCATGATAGTTACTATTTTTGTGTTTAAGAGTAATACATATTCATCTTTATGAACTATAATTTATTTATATCCCATAGGTCCTACATGGTATAAGCCAAGGATGTGGTAAATGTCATAGAATGAATACTAGCACTTTGTACAATAAAATAGCGTAACATAATTATAATTGCATACTTAATACAGCTATTTACATAGATAGTTGTAGTATTTAATAATTTTCAATCAAAGTAATTCTTATAGTAGAAGAACTGAGATAAAAGATGATCAATCATTGTTTACATTTTATGAGGTCTTCTCTTTTTTGTAGGACTGTGACTGTTTATCTGTGTCGTGGGCACATTTCTTATTGTATTCTATATATGCTGTAAGCCAGGGATTTTAAATATTGGCCTGACTGGGTCATGACATAATATCAAATTCCACATACTGATTGTTAGACGAGTTTCCAATAGAAAAGCGGATTGAAATATGTCGTCCTTTTCAGGATCAATTCTGTTTGTATTTTGGTGAAAGGCGGTAGTAAGATGAATGGGTGAGGCAGAAAAAAAGTTGTCCAAGACATTTCCTACAAATTTGAGTAGCGTCTGATATTTTAGTAAATTTTTTTCGAAGGTGGAAATGGCCATGTTCTCCAAAATATCTGGAGATCAGCACATGACAACACATTGTCTCCCAAGAATGGAAACATCTTCTACAAACTGCGATGAAAGCCCAGAAGGTTTCTAATGTATAAGACTTCTGAATTGGAATTTTTGAAAAAAGCGGATGTGACATTTTATATTTCTCTCAGGAGACTCAAAAATTGTTTTAAGTTCTTATTATTGTATGTAGGCCTATTGTTATTTTACTTTTATTGCCTTGGCAATCATACTGATATGTCATATATCCTTTGCCACAACATTAGATTATTCTTTTAGTTGTTTTAATTTTAAGTTTAATTTTAATAGCCAACAACATTTTGTGCTATTTTGTAGTTATTTCCTTTATACAAAAAATGAAAAAGAAATGTTTGAGCACTAAGTAGTAGTTTCTAATACAGTATATTACATGAATGTTTAATGTAATAAATTTGTAAATTTCATTGCTGGAATAATGAAAAAAGTAGTAGCTGATACCAAGAGCTGCAAATTCTGTAGCGTGTAATTGATGGCTGCAACAGAGCAAACAGCATATGCAAAATATATGAAAGATGGCAAATTTGGGGATTTTTTCCTGGACACAGGGAAAGGATAATTTCAGTAATAGGAGGTAAACTGGGACTTAGGATAATTACCTGGCATGAAGAATGAGGAACATTATGAATTGTGTGCTGTATTGCACATCATCCGTTGTGTATATTAAAATATGTCTTTCTCAAGTGTATGGCTTCATGACTCCTTTGTATAAGTTACGGAAGTTTTTATGAAAGGCAGGCATGGCGAATAAGTTTTCAGCAATTGTTAAGTGGCTAAATGTTTGTTGATTTATCTGTCTCTTCCATCATAAATTTTCCTATATTTCTTGTTTGCTACTTTAACAACTAAATAATTATGTTGGTATTTGGAAGTACCCCTGTTTTGCACCAAGATCTTCAGCTGTAATTTACATTTGTGTTGACTGTAGTAGGATATGATTCTGCCTAGTTAAGCATTATTCTGTTAATTAGCTTGCTTATTTACGTTGCTTATATGAAATGAATTACATTAATGTGGCATCAAATTGGATAGGGAGACATAAAAGATGAAGTATTAGAATAATCATATGAAGCATTTGTTTTGGTGATGGAACATTTGAATTGATTTCGCTTATACGTCAATATGAAGACCTGTCTCCCTCATTCCCTTTCATTTGGTTTCAAGGGAACAATAAAAGGCATAATAAGATATCGGTATCCACAATTCTTTAATCACGAGGCAGCAATGCATTTGGTATTTATAGGACTTAGGTACCACAGTAGTGAATAATAGCATAGATATGTTACATTCTTTAGTTTTTAATGATTTTAGTGCTGTATATGGCTGTGTATTTTCTTGGTTATAGGTTATTCCAACTATTGCAACATCCAGTGCAGCTCTCCAACAGGCTGGTGTGACACGAATACTAAACATTGCTTCATCTCCGAGAGTGAATGTGGTCGGTGTGTCTCAAGTTCCAGGACGGGCAGGGACATTGCAACTTGCTACTAGTAATGCTGGAAACAGTGGAACAAGTGACTCGCCCGGACGAGGCACGGTATCACTTGTCGCCATCGGTCAACCAGCAGCAGTTAATGCTTCCTCTCACCCAACACTGGTCAGTTCCTTGTCGTCCCCTCCCCGACAGAGGACTACTAGTAGTGCTCTTGGTGTAGTACAGTCACCTCCGACACTAGTGTTAACATCGACACCAAATTTAGTGCGGACTTCTAGCGGATCTTTTGCCACACCATTATCCTCTGCTTCAAGTGTCATGTCAAGTCCACAATCCTCATCTCCTGCAAGGAAAAGAATGCGACTGTCTGAACTTCAGGAGAGAGCACCTCCAAATGAAGAAATTGGAGCTCTAAGGAAGAAAGTGCTAGAACACAAGATGGCACGAATGCGTAGTGATCAGGAACGATACGCGGAACACGCTTCTGAACTGTTCTTCTTGCAGGCTGGTGGAAACATGATGGATTATCTCACTTGGCGTAAACGACCATCTACTCCTCAGTTCCTACATTTTCTTAGATCTCATCGTTTGGATCCTGAAGATGATGATGAAGACCTTACTTTGTTGTTACATTCACCGTCTGCCCCAGGATCTTCCCTGACCTCTCAAAGTACAGAGATCAAGATCCCAGGAGTGGGGGCAACCCCCGTAGCAACTTCCACGACTCTTCCTCCTGCTGTGGCTCAACTTAACCAGCAAGGTCTGTACCACTTGTTACTTCTGTAGTTTAATATAGTTTTGAGTGAATTGATCTCAGTCATGAACTTCCAGATCTCAAATTGAATGAATTATCTGCAGCCTTTTCATCAAGTTTTATTGTTGTGTTTATATAATTAATGTTGTTTGTTGTTATAATATTTTTGTCAGCAGTCATACAAGGTCCGTATTGAATACCATGTTTTGGAGGAATCGACAGCTCAGAATTATTAGTGTTTTACTTTATGTTCTGGGCTTACATCATAAAGTACCATCATGGAGGCGATATAAATCCAGTTGTATACAAACTTCAGAGTATTCATGTGCTTCGTTTGTTGAATTTGGAATATGCGTCAGCATTTTTGCCCTTACTGTTTGTGCACTTATGACCTTGAACTTAATAGTAAAGTTTGACAAGGTATATGATATTAACCTTTAAACGACGGACATTTAAATGGCAAAGTGGTAGCAGCCCTACAGAGTTTTTTTTGCAGGTATTTAAATTTTTGTGCACGCTCTACGGAAAACTTTAATATTATCTAAAGTAAACATGATAAAATGACGAAATAAAGGCCATATTTATGCGAACAGAACAGAGAATACACAGTTTTTTTTAAAAAAAAAATGCAGTTAATATCAGTGTCCAAAATGACTTCTGGCATTTCTTCAGGCTTTAGTAACTTTACTTTCTTTTTTTGGAAGCTCAGTTGACATGGTAGAAGCCATGGTTGTGAACTACTGACCACACAGAAAATTTTGTTTCCTTGTACTTCAGTGGATACTCATTCTTTTCACCCATCATGCCGAGGAATGTGAGTAGCTTTGAATAGGGGTCTGAAAACGAAGCCAAAACCCACTTGACTATAAACAAAGTTTATTACTTTGTGGTTATAGTTTCTGGGTTGACAGCTCAGGTTGAACTTGTCAGAACCCTAGAGAGAGTGATCCAATATTTGCAGCCCCTAAAAGAGGCCAAAAGACGTAGCCAAGTCTCCTTACAGTGTTGCAAGTATTTACGTTCCGCACAAGGAACGTTCGTAGGGCTGAGTACTCTACTTACATTCCCGACAAGGAACGCAAGTAAGATAAAGGTTAATCTAGGAACGTGCCAGAATTATTACACATCATTTTTGGACCTTCTGTTACGTATATGTGAATGTGTGACTTGTACTAATAGTTCCTTTGACATGTACAAGCTGAGGTATATTTTGTCTGTGAAATGATGCATGTGCAGGTCATATCCCTGGGCGACCTCAAGGGGGTCGCCATGGGATGGTGTTTGGACTACGACCACTCCCTACTTCAACTTGCATAGGCCCAACCACTGCTACTACCACACCTCTTGTGCCAGGTAGTCTGTTATTGTCTTCAATTTTATTGGGCCAGTAGAAATTCAGTGTTATTGTATTAACTTTGTCTAAACAATATGTTGGATTTTATGGAAGGTTTCGAATTATTGTTTGCCATTTTAAAGCTACTCTGTGGCTTACTGGGGTTTCAAATGGTAATTTTTTTGTGTGACTTTTGGAATGTGCTTTGCATGGAATATTTTCATATTTGTTGCTAATGGACTTTATGATTTGTTGGAGAATTTTTTAATTTTAGCCATTTATTTTAAGCAAAGCACCTTGCAAGGTTGGATGTGGTATTATGTATGGATGCTTTTCAGGGAATTTATAGTTAATTGTAATAATAGAATCTTAGGTTATAACATTTTTTTGACAGATTTGTTTCCAGTATCCAGATGTCAGTGTATAACTTTGGCTGAAGATAAGTTAATTTCTTTATTTACTCTGCATATCAGGAAAGAAATAGCTGGCTTAGTCATATGATTAATTTGGTACATCTATAATTCTTTACTGTTGTGTTGTTCTTTTAAAGATTATTTCTTATTACAGCTGTTATTCATTGCTAGAATTATGCCAGCTGAAGGTGTTAATGTTATGGTTTTCAGTGTGTTTTATGGGCAGACAATATATTACATACTTTTATGTCTTTTGATCAGCTGCATCAGTGGCAAGAACTGTGTTTGGAATATTGTCTCTGTCATCAGGGGCTGATTGATCAAGACTTTATTGAACGCAGTTACTATCAAAACTTCTTGTCCTATATTATCAATTGTGGAACAAACTTTTAGAGACACGCCTCATGCCCAGTTCTTTCGTAAAATTAACCTGACATGAGCTTCTTCATCCATCTCACAAATAGTTACTGAACTTTTACAGCAACTAAATGCAATAGAATTTTCTCAGACATCGATCTGCATCTATTCACTTTAGGAGTGATGATAGAGACCGAACAGGTCTCTGAAACATTGGACTTTTTATCAGAATTGACATGGCTGTTCATCTGAGAGGATTTTATTGCAAGCAGAATAAAAGTTTAAACTGAATTTTATGTTTTGGGCTGTACTTTAACTTCATTCATGTTTTTCTTTTGTTTTATGTTTGTGCCAATCTAACAGTTCTGTCAAATTTGGGTTGCCCTGGTTTAAAATCTTGGCCCAAATACTGGCTGATGGGTTTTTCCCTTTATTATCTCCAGGCATGTGCTTGTACAATACCTTAAATTATGCCTTGACAGCATCCTTTCTTATCCTCTCCAATTCATTATTTTGTTTGTCAGAGCTTCTGACTGCAATGTTCAATAAACCACAAATAAATAAGTTTTGTGGGCTCAGAATTTGTTTATATATCTGCTTTCTTTGGTCTCTGCTTTTGACACATCTTATTCTTGGTGGAAAAAAGTCATGTAGAACATTATGTTTAATGTCCACTCAGTTGTTAACAAAACTACTCTAATTTCTGACTCCAAGGCACTATAATGTAAGACTGTGTTCGGTACAGAAAGACTATTGATTGAGGAAAGAATAGACTTGTTGAGTTTGTCATTATGGAAACTGCTTATTTATTTATTAGGAACTGAAATAGAACAGCATGTAATGTTGATGGGACAGAATGAGGCTTCATAAAAATTAGTAGCTCTATTGTCTCATTAAAATGTTGTGATGCTTATTAAAGGGAAAGATGGTTTTTATATATCACTCTTTAATTACAGTTATAACTTCAATAATATCAGACACAGTATGAAAGTTTATTTAAAAGTGGGTTGAATTTTCCATTAGGTTGAGAACCACTCTTTTATCTTGCAGATTTTTTTTATTTTTTGTGAATTCCATAGTCAGCATTAACTTTAGCACAAGGGAATAGGTGGTTTAATTCCTTGTACCATGGGATGCTGCTCGGATATTTAACATAATGTTACTGTAGCATGTGGCCAGCTGGAATGCTTGTAAGCTGATTGACTGTATCTAAGATTGTCAGCTTTCTGATTATATGAAGTGCGTAATTTACTTGTCAGGTGGTACACCACTGGTTCTTGAACCTGCAACTCCTACCAACCCCAACAGTGTGTCATCTGGAACTGGAAGGGGATCAGGGTCGTCTGCGACTGTAAATGAAAAGGGCTCAGTTGCAGGTTTGAGTCCATCAAAACTAAACAAATTACCATTGGTGGCTCCCATGTCCCGGCAGCATACAAGACAACATTCCATTTCGGCTGTGTACGATACTTCAATTGGAAGCCAAGAACAAATTGCAGAGAAAGCAAAACAAGTAAGTTGGTTCTTTGTAAAGAATAATTCAGGAAGGAAATATTCAGTTCAATAGGATGTATATTTTATTTAAAGTACTAGGAAAGTTTGCATCATGTTCTGTATCACCGTGGCAAATTGTAACATGTGCAGCAATAAGTATGAATTTTGGAAGTGAGTTAAAAATCCAAATTCATTTAGTGATGACATTTTAAGTATAGAAAGATTCTTGCATTAAGAATTGATCTGTTGACACGAGGCATTTGTCTGAAAATGAATGTGGAACATTGTTGAATTGTTTATGAGTTGAGTTGAAATATTTCGCTTGTGTGTGCAGAAATGCACGTAAATCTTCGCATAGCGTCCTTTATAGTTTGATTTGAATTAAAATTGGAATGTGTCGGCAATTTCAGTGAAACTCTCCAGTATGAAATTTTATCTTTATTTTTTCTTCTGTACGGGATTTACAACCAGGTAGATGGACAGAAATTGAAGCTGATAGGTTCATATTTGCATTTTTTAGTTGAATATGTGCTTAAAGATGTATATGTTTAAAAATAATAAGTCTTGCAAGGACTTTTTTTTTGCATTAATTGGTGATTAAAATGAAGATAATGTTTTGGGAAGCTAGTTTCAGTCATAGTACATATAAATTGCTGAGAATGGGTCATATTAAATTGCAAACATTGACAAACCTTATGTATAAAGTCAAGATTTTGCAGCGACTGAAGTTGATGAAAGACTCTCAGGTTACAAGCCGTCAGGTGGCTTGAGAGTCTTTCATCAACATTGATAAACCTTGTTTAAAGTAAATTTTACAAGTTGGGAGAGGAATTGGAATGTGATTGATAGCCATAGTTAAAATTGTCTGTTCAATTTAAGAATCTGAATGAAATGTAGCTGGCAGTTATATGTATGTCATAAATTGTGCTGAATTTGTAACATTTCTTTAATCCATGTGGTGATTTGTTCCTGGAGTATCATAGGATTTCACAGGGTTTTTTTGTTAACCGCTGCAGGAAGCGTATGTAATGCAGAGAATAGCTGAACTCCAGAGAGAAGGTTTATGGTCTGAGAAGAGACTTCCAAAAGTTCAGGAACCTCCGAGAGTAAAGGCACATTGGGACTACCTCATCGAAGAAATGATATGGTTAGCAGCTGACTTTGCACAGGAAAGAAAATGGAAGAAGGCGGCAGCAAAAAAGGTCAGTTCATAACATTTCTCTTCTTTTATTTGTTGTCACTAATTATATGCGACTGTGTGATAAAGGTTTTTTATTGATAAGCTGATAGTTGCTCAGCACGTTAAAGTGTTCACTTCTTGTGGAACAATTTTTATTACCATGTTTACAAGAACGCACCATTTTCAAAATTCTGAGCCAGTTTAGCCCAGTTTACATTCTTACATCTTATTTAAGATATTTTTTTCTATCACATGTTATGCAAGAAAATCTGCCGAGTACTTTTGAAGGTTTATGAAATTAATTGAAAAGGCATCATGCAGATATGTTAAATATTACTCCTGTACTTTAGTGAACTTAAAAAGTTACTTGTGAATTCTGATCGCAGATACGGGTGAGAAGTTTCTTAACTGTGCAGCTGTTTTGTTAAGAGTGTTTGTGCTCCACATTAGCGGCTGACTGTCGTTCTGTGTTTTGTTTCAGTGTGCAAGAAATGTTCAAAAGTATTTTCAGGAAAAAGCGATTCAGGCCCAAAAGGCTGAAAAGGTTCAAGAATTACGGTTGAAGAAAGTGGCTAGTTTTATCGCAAAGGAAATCAAGACATTTTGGTCCAACGTTGAGAAGGTAATATTAATGAAATCCTTTAATATGAATTATGTAGTTAGTGAGGCCTGGTTGTGATGATTTTGTTATATTTGCAAGCCTGATATAAAATGTTTGGTAGGTGTTAATATGTAATTTGCTCCTTTTAAACCAGTATTGTATATTGATTTAACTTGTATATTACTTGTGTAAATGAGACATGTGTTAAATTTTAGATTAGTTGCTGATTATTACTTGCGTTAGGCGATAGCGGTTTAAACCACGTCTAGGTGCACGAGGTTTAATAAACTTCAATCCAGGACTTCCATCATAAATCTGAGTGTTGTGCCATTTGCTTTTTAAAATGTGCACAGCGTGGAACCCCAAACCATGAAAATAGAAAGAATTACTTGCCTCAAATATGTTAAGATTTTATCACATGTTTAGTTAATTCAGTTATGTCCTATCGTATTATTGGATTCTTTCATTGTCTCAAAAATGTGAAAATGTTTTTTGTTAAATTCAGTGGTTAACAATTGTGTTTACTTCAGCTGGTAGAGTTTAAACAACAGACAAGATTGGAAGAAAAACGAAAGAAGGCACTGGACCAGCATCTTAGTTTTATTGTAGACCAGACAGAAAAATACTCAACATGGTTAGCTGAAAGCATGAACAAATCTGGTGTGGACAGTGTCAATCCAAGTGTTCCTCCATCTGTGAATTCATCACGTATATCTTCGCCAACAAGACAAGTTCTGTCTGATGGTATGTTAATAATGTGTTATGTAATTGGTTTAAGAGGTTTTATGTGTGGCACTATATAATTCTAAAATTTCCAATTACTTTGATAGTCAAAACTACTCTGAAAACATCTTTTACCCACTTAATTTTACAATGGCAAATTATTTAGTTTATTAGTAATATAAGTATTTTGTATCCTGTACATTTTTGATAGTATGATCAAATCAAATGGTATGCAGCGGGCAGTGCTTGTGGCTTGTAATGGAAAATGAGAAAAGTGTTCATGCCTTAGTGGCTGTGAAAGCCATGGGGTAGATTGAAAGATAATATTAATATGAATGTTGAAGAAACTAGCTGTGAGAGAGTGGATTGGGTTCAACTGGCTAGGAACCGCCACGGTGGTCTAGCGGTTAGGACACTGGGCTTGTAATACTGGGGCCCTGGTTTCGATTCCCGGTGGTGCTCAGATTTGCAACTTGTGTTGGGCAAGGCCGTGGTCCAGGCATCACAGAGTTTTCCTCCAGGGTTTCTTCGTGGCATCCCAACAATTACTCCACTCTCATCATTTTGCAAAATGGGGGTCACAGCAGGAGCGTTGAATGTCGTGGTCCCGATCAAACCCATGTACTGATGGGTCGTGAATCCTGCTAACCACCAATGCACACCATGCTGAATGGTGCGTACTGGACATGAAAAAAGAAAACTGGCTAGGGATAGTGTCCAGTTGTTGGCTTTTGTGTTTGTGATAATGAGCCTTGCAGTGCTTCAGTTAAGTATTGGTAATTAAGACATGAAGTACATGCCATTTTACTGTAATACATTTCATCACTGGAGGCCATATTTGTGTATCACTTCTTTCTTCCAGAACCCTCGGTATTCCATCAAGCGTTTCAAGCTTTGTGCTTGGAGATACTATCATTTCTGCCTGCCTTTGCAGGATTGGAAATAAAATCTTAATCTTATTATATGAGTATTTGTAAGTGAAAGAATCTGCACGAAGTAGGAATCTCTAATACACATTATCCACACTTTTGCTATGGCGGAGTATTCTGTAACATCAGTTTTGTGATTAAATTACAGATTTTAAGTTTTTTATTGAACTGAACCATCTGATGGCAATTCTGATCTTTCTTCATATTTTAATTATATACTAGTTAGCTCAGTCGGTATAGTGACTGGCTACGGACTGGGCGACCGGGGTTCGATCCCCGACGGGGGCAGAGGATTTTTCCTCTAGCCTCTGCGTCCAGACTGGCTCTGACAGCCTCCTTCCCGGGGATAAAGCACAGCTGGGGCGTGATGCTGACCACTCACCCCATCTAGTGCCGAGGTCAATAATGAGTAGGAGCTATACCTCCATTCCCCCAAGCGCCTACATGGCGTATAGTGGGACAGGTTTTTTAATATTTCTCAGGGTAGTGTGAAATTTGCAGATGAATTTCAACCAAATCAGAGTTCAACAGATGATGAAGAAACAATTGCAAAGGCAGAAGAAGACATGGATGTGTTAGGACATATCGAAGAAGTTGAAATGCTGAAAAGAGAATCAGAGCTTCCTCTAGAAGAGTTGTTGAAGGAATTGCCAGGTGATTACTTGGAAAACCGAGATAAAGCGTTGCCCGGTGAAAGAAGTGAAGGCGGTGATGACGACGTGTCTAGTAGAGATGATGATGAATTCACTCTTGCATCAGACAAGGAATTGAGTGATGATGAAGACACGATCCAAGAACAGGAAGCTGTTGAAGGGAAAGTTGATCACAAGAAGGAATTGGAGGACCTTCAGGTGAGGACATAAACACAGTTTTGGTTAAATATAAAGCGTACTGATATTAAGAAGGATTGTGTTACATATTGACTCGTGTATGGTACTGTGAAATCTCATGGTCTTATTTCATGCAAAATGTGTTATTTTATTTGAGTTTCCTGGGTTTTGAGCTTTCTGAGTATGTTTGGTTATGTCACTGGTCAACATTTCACCTGTTGGTTACTATGACAAGTTATTGTGGAAGCATCATTTCAATTTAAATGTGTGATTTTTTACAAGTTACTAATTATTAAGGTTTTAGTTGGTATGCCGTGAGGACATCTTGCATTACTCCATTACCACTGACTCATCTGATGGAGTTCGTTTTATGTGTGGCTGAACTTTCAACTTACTTGTTTCATATCAACACACGATTTTATGATATTTCAGTATGTAATCGTTGTTTTTGTACAACATCCCCGTTTCCAACGCACAGTTGCAAGTATTTATATGAAAAGCTTGTATCTGTTTATATATGGGGTATAGAAATGTTTATCCCTTATAAATGCACGCTTCATGTTCAGAAATTGCCTTGTGTACCTGTCGAGGGAAACAATGTAGTTATGTTCACATTTCTGCAGTGTAATTAAAGTATTTTAGTTCAAATCTTTAAAGAAAATGCAGCAGCTGGTTTAACTCTAGATTTCCCTTCTTTTGTCCTATTTTTCCACGCAGGCTGAAAATGAAATGAGTATCGAAGATCTTATTGCAAAATATGGTTGTGGGGTTGGTGCAGAGGACGCAGAAGATGGTATGGAGGATTGTGAATCAGAAGAAGTTGAAGATGAGGGTAAGACTGTACAATCATTTTTAGCAGCGTGGGTAGGAAATATTTTATGTGGGGCTGAAAAATTAAACACACTAAACCAAAAGTTCTGTTAAGTGCAGGAAACAATTGACGTATATATTGTGAATTTCTTTTTACCGCTGTTTCCTTTGGTTCATGGTTACATTTGTGCATATGGTACATTAAATGATCAGACAGCCTAAGGGGATAATAAAAGAAATTAAAAGCAAATGGTAGTGTTTTAATATGATTTTCCTTTTCTTGTTTTTTTTAAGTTTATTTTTTGTGTGCATCATAGATCAGTTATCATACTATATTGTGATGACTTTTGCAGTGATGCTAAATCAAAATGTGCATAGGCCAGCGTGTTTACATTTTTTTTTGGTGTAGACATTCTAGAACCTTGCAAACAATTCATAATTTATATGTAAGTGTAAAGCAGAAATTACAAGGTTGTGACACAGTTATAAATATTTGCATGGTTTGCCCCTCTGTGGCACTAAACTGAGAGGGGATATACAAAGTCTGCCAGTGACTGACACACGAAAAGATGTACTTTTTTTTTTGGGAGAAGGGCTGATTAATGTTGTGTCTTTTGTGAGGCTTTGGTCTTGCTAATTATGGGTTTGCTAACATTGTTTTTCAGAAGCAACTCCGTTGTTGGTGACGGATCACTGTGTAGGATAAATTTTTTGAAAATTGTTATTTACTGCTCAGTCCTGTGAAATTTTAAATGTTGCAACATGCAATTTTTATGGTTTTTATCTTACCTTTTTTACTATAACCACATATCAAATTTGAAACAGTAACATAGGCAAAGAAGTCGAGCATGGAGACGAAACCTCGGAGTCATTGTAGTCATGATGTATTTTGTATGTGATTACTTTAACTCAGTTAGTTTTCAGATATGTGTATTTGTGTTTATTTTCTAGTATCAGGAAATGAAAGTGAAAATTCAACTGAAGGTGATGAAGACAGTATACAGAGTAAAGAAGCAGGCATTGGCCTCAAATCTCTACTAAATGATGACAATGAGGATGATGAAACAAGCACTGAAAAAAAGGTTTGTATAATTATACAAAGCATATTGAAAGGCGACTTTCTGAAAACTGAGATGCTGTACTTACGCCAGGATGGGAATTATTAGTCTTAAAAATAGACGTATTTGGTACAGTTACATGTACAACTGTTCATGGTTCCTGCTGGTGTTGGAAGCACCTCTCAGACAAAGTTTTCTGTCCATTGCGTTCAGTTCTTTCTACATTATAATAATTGTCTTTTTAGGATATGTGTTTAAAGAATAGAAAAATATATGAACCCTTATCTGATTACTAAGTAGGGTATATTGTAGATGGTTTGTATATTTATTTTTCTTCTGGACGTCTGCGTTAACAAATTGCTTAAGTTTAGCGTACCCTTAAGTGTTACATGTTGAATATCCTTTTTGCAAAGGAACTAGTATGAAATGGGGCTTATGTGGGCAACAACAGAAACTGGGCGGGAGATGGCGAGCCTGCACATCACAGGCGGGAGGGCCCCCACTTGTTTTCCAGCTGCAGAATTTGGAGACGTGAGGTTAACTTTGTTTTCCTCCAGTTCTCTGTCACATTGCTGATGTGTGATGTTTACAATTGTAGGTGAAGGA